TTAGGACGTTGTAAGCCAATCACAACGTTTTTGTGTACGCTTGTGAAGATATTTACCATAATTCATTAGATTATGAACGGCGAATTTAATTCGAAATCTTTGGATATAAACACCGTGTTTTCTAACTCTTCCTATTCGTTTCTCAAAATTTCTTTTTGGGATTTGACCATGACTTTTAACAATTATATAAAAAATATGACGAAGTAATATGAGGGTCTGCATTCTTTAATTTTGTATGCTTATTTTCTATATTCTTTTTTTTGCCCCATATTTTCTAGTCTTTATATCATAGCAGCCCATTTTTCTCTATTTCTTAAGTTTTTGTTCTCTTGATCTCGATTTTGTTAGGACCCTTTATTCTGTATTCTATGTCTATTGATAAAAAAATACTAAATATCTTTCTTTAAATACTTACATTTAATGGTTATAGTAGAGAGCCTTTTTTCAATTAATGCTTTATAGTGTGTCCTTTTATGTCGTATTGTTACACCATTGTCTCAGGTTAGGGTGAAGGTTGGCGCCAGATAAAACGTTCAAACCCGCTGCATTTGTTTGCACCTGTACTAAGTCAGGAACCTGATGTTCAGTGGTTGTCGTTTGTTGATGTGGTTCATAAGTGTTTCTCGTTTCTCGTTTTTTATATAGATTAGACCGTTAGTTTTCCTGTTTGAATGGTTTTACACTAGTCATTTTAGGGGACCTTTATAGCTTGCTGTTCGGTGTGAGCCAAGGCTCCGTGTTGAAGGCCGTACTTTGACCTATAATGGTTTACTTTTACAAATTGTGACTTGGATGGAGAGTTGTCTCATTGGCACTCATACCACATCTTCTTATATTTATATACAAGAAATCATTTTTTTTAAACAAGCCTTGTTTAGTAAATAAACAAAACACTTGGCATAATAACGATTACGTGGATAAAAAAAATTGACAATGAATACAAAGGTATTAATTTGTATACAAAAACAAGATAGCATATTTTATATCCTTCAAATTCAGGACATGCAACATATATCATTAGTTACATGGTGTGTTAGTGACCTAATACGATATATATGGGGTCAGTAAATTCCATATGGAGTGAGAGCGAAGCTTGAATCCCCATATGGAATTTACTGAACCCATATATATCGTATTAGGTCACTAGCACACCGTGTAACAAATTTATCTTACCGACTATCTTCCCAAGTGGTATTAAGACTAGCGGCCTATCAAAGTGATTTAAAAGACTTCAATACTTAATTTTAACATGTTTAAGAACCTACTTCCATTTGTCTATACAAAAAACAAATGCCTACAATAACAATGTGTTAGCTTTAAATTTCTTTTATGAATGTATTTCAATCGTTTATTACCAGTTTCTTCGTCTGTTTAAACCTTTCAGATGTCATTTTTGTTTTAAAAGGGAAGTAACCCCTTACTAACCCCATATGGTTGCTAACCGTATATGGTAACTAACCATGTATTTTTTAGGGTTAGCTTTAAATTTGTTTTATTAATGTATTTCAATCGTTTATTACCAGTTTCTTCGTCTGTTTAAACCTTTCAGATGTCATTTTTGTTTTAAAAGGGAAGTAACCCCTTACTTACCCCATATGGTAACTAACCATGTATTTTTTAGGACACCCTATATGAAATATATATGGTCACCACGTATAGTCGATTAACCAATCATATCCCCATAAATCTATAGAAGGTAAGATAATTTAAAATTCTATTTAATTCTGATATCGACTTACATCTGCATATTTATAAAAGTGTACGGGAACTATTCCCTACGCCTCTATTTTCAACTTTCATTAAAATGCCTGTTTAGATCATAGCCATATGTCACACACATGTTGCAAATGACTTAAGAGTTTTCTCGACTTAACCAGAAAGTAAAAACTTTAAAGTTCACAGATTAACACATTGAAATGGCATACATATTCTGTATAAAGTCATATCAGGAAGGTAAATACTTAATTGATTTAAAAGTCAGAGCACACATTCGGATAGACATATGCATGTATTCCCAGCCACAATATAAAAAAGAAGATGTGGTATGCTTGCCAATTAGACAACTCTCCACAAGAGACCAAATGACAGAAATTAACAACTATAGGTCAAAGTACGGCCTTCAACAATGAGAAAAGCCCATACCGCACAGTCAGCTATAAAAGGCCCCGAAATGACAATGTAAAACAATTCAAAGGAGAAAACTAACGGCCTAATTTATGTACAAAAAATGAACGAAAAACAAATATGTAACACATAAACAAACGACAACCACTGAATTACAGGCTCCTGACTTGGGACAGGCACATACATACAGAATGTGGCGGGGTTAATCATGTTAGCGGGATCCGAACCCTCCCCCTAACCCGGGACACCGGTGTAACAGTACAACATAAGAACGAACTATACAAATCAGTTGAAAGAGGCTTAACTCATCAGATGGATAAAAATACAAATACTACAAATACATGTGGACGTAAGTACAGATCTGATAGTACTCGCAGTTACTGACAGCTAGTTCAAAGCCACTTACAACTAATATAAAAGCATGCATCTAAGACAAGTCTATTTAAAACCCACAAGTGACTGCACACTGTGAGAGTTTACATGGATATAAATCTGACTTGGACTATCATTTTGTATTTAAACGCAAAATTAATTGATCTAGTGTGCTTTCTTTTTAACTAAGTCTAACAGGTCAACGATTCTTGATAAATTGATACTTCGTATTATGAAAAAAGTTCAAACTGGACGGCTGATTGACCAAGGACTGTTTGACGCTTTCGGAATATATTCGACTGATATGTGAGGTATTCCGCTGGAGAACATGTGAATGTTATACATGTATATTTAAATTGGTTGGAGTCGAGTAGTGTTTGTTCCTACCCTGAAATTGCACATGCTTTTAAATGAGAAGCAGCAATTATTTTAAAATCTAAATTGACCCTTCTTTGGATGGATTCCAAGGACCCGTCGAAGTCAAATTGGACCTAAAACAACGAGACTTATTACTTAAAGGAGCTCAAACCTAAGCCTGATAAAGCTTAGTTTCTTTTATGAACGCTAAACTACCTATTCAATCTACGAGATTAGAGACAAGTAGCAATGGAACAACAGTGGTCAATTATAAATCTGATGATGATTAGAATAGACCAATAGTTCCAAGTTATAAAAAAAAACACAATTTACACTTCATTTCTTAAGTAAGCAAGTTGATTCGAAGAAGTTTTCAGATAACTTGTTTCTGGACTTGCCATCATCCAGTATTTGTTTATGCAACGACGGATTGACCAATAACTCAACAACACTTTTGCGGTATCCCATCCAGGCTAGCAAATATTTCATTGATACTTAAATCTAGACTAGACATCAAGACCCTCCTTCTAGTTGGAATTTGGGGATCTGTACCTTTTAATGAAAGATTTGTGCTAGAGCCTCATGCACCGCAGAAAGTTTTCATTTCAGAAATTGTGTATTGATCATAAGTATGCTTATGAAGAATCACTCATGACTGATACAGAAATCTGGGTGAATGAGCACCCGTGCATTATAACCTTGCAGTACCACCCTCTCAGTTATTCTTCAGTGAATGTTTTCACTTTGCCATAATATCATTTGCTACTCCGCCGTGTCTGTGACTGTTTTTATCGGATGATTGTTACAGTAGAGTCAAAGACTTTAAGATTTAATAAAAGTGGATTCGGACCATCAGTCGTTCTTAGGCGGGTAAATTTGTAATTTTGCAATGCTAATAGTTGGTCTCTGAAGTGTTAAATTTTTGAATCACTACTTAAAAGGACATTCCATCGATAATTCTCAGTTTCAAATAGTATTGTAGTCTGCCATCTCATACCAGCTTTGTTGTCAAAATAAATTTTCATGTGGGTTTTATATTTTAAAGTTCTGAGCAGACGTACTGGATTATGAAAACGCAAAGCAAACATGAAAAAATACAAGCTTATCTAAAAACTACATTTGATACAGACGATTATGTATCGTTATTATACCAAAAATATTTTCCGTCACCGTTTGATTAAGAAAAATACAACTCGATTTTTAAGACGTAGGATATATCTAGACTTAGAACGAACTAAACAGCTAGATTGAAAGGACTCAAGGTTGTAAAAATTGAACTTTCATTAAATTTTAGAATGATTAGTTTTGTTTATTCCGTACAGGGCATGCTCCAGGTAAGCACCAAATAAAACTATGAACAGCTAAATTTTCAATTACACAGTCTATATAAGTGCATCTTAAATATTCCACTGAACACAGATATCAATTTCCATTGGTGTCCAGCGTACCAAATTGTAAGACTTGTATTTTGTATGAATATTTTAATTACATGAGATATGGAGGATTCCCATATCAGGAGCACGATATTATACTGATTCCGGTCCGGTTTTCATTGGACTCTGTATTGGCATTGCCTTAATTTGCATCGTTCCATGGACAGGATACTGCTTCCCCTTCTTGCAAACTTCAGATAAATCACGGTTTATTGTTTTAAAAACACTACTCTTCTTGTTATTTTACTAGTACTTCATGTGTTGGTTAAGAATGTTTGGCTGTCTCTTGCGACTTATGACGTATCCCTGTAACAAATGACCATCGGTATGTTCCAATTGCCTATTTACACTCTCCTTGAGCAAGACGACAGGTGTAATTAGTAAAGCACCATTTGGTCACCCTTCTGAAGCGCATGTTAGTTTTTGTTTATTGGTTTGTAGACTGTTGTCAGTCTTTCGTCTTCGTCTTAACTTTTTGCCTAATCTGCCTTCTTTTGTCTTTGACTTATGATTTTAAGTTGTAACCTTTGTATCTTCTGTCAATTGGTTAATTTTCTATCATGTTTAAATTCATTTAATATAAACGATATTTTAAACATTAAGGCTGGCAGCAGAGATAAATATTTGTGCTATAGTTTTATTTTTTGATGCATGTTAAGTTTATTCATTGCATGACAAGTAAACTCCATCTAGGGTTGAAATAATAACAATATAAAAAGGGAAAAGCATGTTTTGCTTCAAAATTTTATTATTCTATCTTGGTTTCAATCCAAAATATGGCATGGCAAGTTCAACTGATTGAAGCGCTGCGTTTGACCAAATTGACAAAGACCGCGCATTGAAAGCGTTTGAAACCACATAGACTTCATCGCTGACTGACGGTTTTGTCATTTCCCTTTCAACCGCCGGCCATATATATCCCGGCATCCATATTTGCCATGCACCACCGTACGGATAATTTTTCCATAGATAGGCAGCTGCCTTTGTTGGTGGTGGTATTTTTCGAACAGGTAATTTATATATATCAGCCAAATATTTATGTGTAACTTGTACAAATTCTTTTCCCATTAAGACGAAGTGACCATTAGGTTCATTTACATTTCCTCTGTCAAATAGTTCTTCCCAATAAGGTGCATCACTATCCATATACATAGCCTGTAGTACAGACTTGGGTGGATTAAGTTTGGAAGTACCAAAGTCGTACGTTTGTCTTAACGGAGTGTCTGATATTATATAGTCAGAATAAACCGGAGATCTCCTCCACCAGGGAGAATCATAACTGAAATAAAGCTTAGCTGCGGGTTTATCTTTTACTGATTTTGTTAAATATTCTCTAATACGAGGCTGGTAAAGACCCTGCCAGTCCAATTTTTCAAGTGAAAATCTATTGGTTGCAAGTATGACTTGTTTAGCGCACTTCATCTTTAATGCTGCAGGCTAAAAATAGAAACATAGACTACTATTTTAATAGAAAAACAAAGATATGGGGTATCTATCCATGACTTAAAATCAGTACATGTACAGCAAAAAAAAAAAAAACAACAAAAACCAAAAAACCAAACACACAATAAGCAAAGGAACAGCGCTTTTATTGCTGTTGTTCATCTCAAAGTCACAGTGAGGCTTTCAACACGGAGCCAAAAAAAAAAAAAAAGTCTCACCACACTGCAAGTTTAAGATGGTCCCTAGCACCGGCTTGAGCGGAATACTTTGCAAAAAAAAATCTGGATATACTTTTGCATGGACATTCATTAAAAAAAGGCAATTGTAGTATACCGCTGTTCAATTAAGCATTTTAAACGTACACCTTGACCTATAATGGTTTACTTTTATAAATTGTAACTTGGATGGAGAGTTGTCTCATTGGCACTCATACCACATCTTCCTATATCTATGTATGATAAGTTGACGAATTATAGCCTTTCTTTTATAGCCGTTGTTTGGTAAAATATGACTGTTCTTTTGATACCTTTTAGTAATTTTGCTCCCAAACACACAAGATACAAACAATATATTTATTCAAATTATATATATGTATTGTTTTGTTTCTGATATTTCTCATTTAATAAAGATCTACGTGGGAATGGGCCGGTATATAAGATAATGGACTTGACTGCATTTTGATATTATTATAAATGATTATAAACATACTTTTTACTTTCAACAACAACAAAAAAAAAACAAAGCAGAAGATACGACACAAATAAAATTTTAAGAAATTTGTAAAGAATTATTTTCAATTATTGGCAAGCACTGGGTTGATTTCGCTGCTAGTGAATTGTTGTTTCTCGAGGTTATCACCAGCAAAGAAGTCATTGCTTTCGTACTGATTTATAAAATATCTTTTTTAAATTCCCACTTTATAAATTTAGAAATTATAAAGAAACTTTGATTCGAACTCTCTCGGGCAAAGTTTAGCTATAATAAATTTGGCTATTTCTTTCCGGTCCTTTTTAATGATATAGCTCCCAATGTTTCTACATACTTTTACATTTCTGGCTTCCAAAAGTTTCGGTTTATGTTATCCTGATGAAGTTAATAAGCCCTTCGAACGCACCGCACACAATAAGTAGGTTTTTTCATATACAGACGTTATATCATCATTTGTGTTCAATTTTACATAACAATACCATAGAAGCCGATTCATCATATTTTTCAATGATTAATTGATTGACTGAAGGGCGCCTTACGATTAATTGATTGATTGATTGTTTTTTTACTAATGTCACGAGGCTAATATTACATGCATATTCAGTGCAAGAAACCATTTTCGAAAATCGATCAGTACATGAGATTAAAATTACAAACTAAAGGGTATGATGGGACTGGGACAGAAATTTTATCTTGCAACAGGCCACATACAGAACCCTATAAAAGTTGTTTCCGGGGTTCTTTCACGTAAACACAACATAACATTATCCTTTCACGAGGCTAAGGATTTCACGACCCCATTCCCACCGGACGTAGCTATGTTTTTATTCAATAAAAATATCTTCTTTAGGTGTAATACCATCAAATCATAGTACGTCACATCAGGTTTCCTACGAAAAAGGGTAGAAAAAAAAGTATTCCCTTAAATTTTGCAATTGTAGGAAAATAACCCTGCATTTCATTGCAGAAAAAACTCCTTAGTAAGAAACATATATCTTGGGTGTTTCAAAGCACCATACTTTTTAAATTTGGTGTTTCTATAAAATATTTAAGAAACTTAAGGTGACATGGTTACTAAAGCTTGCGAACAGGAAAGAAAGGGGTGAAAATTTGATTGGTTTCCTTCTGGTGATGGTAATTTTCTCATGAAATGTAATGTGAAATGTTAACTGTAGTACTGGAGAGGATAAAACTTTATTCATGCAAATATTTCTTTATTTGAAACGAAGATAATGTTTTGAAAAATGCCAATTTAACAAGACTAAAATAGTCGAGTGACATTAACCATAAAATTTCATATTTAATACATCCACATAATACACAGCTAAATCATATACCATTAAAAAGCATATTATCTGTGAGTTCTTTTTTGCCCGGTCGTCAAATATTCGTACGGTGAAATTTCTGTTAAATCACGATGAAATGTCAAGGACGGACAATTTCTTATTTTACAAAACGTCAGATTTTTTGTAAATTATGTTTTCTAAATAATCAAATTATGTGTGGAAATATGAAAAACCTTTAGAACAGAGACTATAAGTCCAATACCAAACCCATTATAAGATATTTATAACGTATTTTTAATAGATGGCGCTTTTCCAGAAATTTCAGTGAAAATGATAAAAATGAGTGAAAACTAAAATATTTGTCACTGAATCAATTGTTAATCACCATAAATTAAATAACATATTTCATTTAATGCTAAGGACGTTTTTTGACATCATCAAAGAAGGACGAAAGATACCAGAGGGACAGTCAAACTCATAGATCGAAAACAAACTGACAACCCCATGGCCAAAAATAAAAAGACAAACAGACAAATAATAGTACAGATGACACAACATAGAAAACTAAAGACTAAGCAACACGAGCCCCACCAAAAACTGGGGGTGATCTCAGGTGCTCCGGAAGGGTAAGCAGATCCTGCTCCACATGTGGCACCCGTCGTGTTGCTTATGTTATTACAAACCTGTAAATAGTCTAAATCGGTAGGTCACATTCGTGAAAAGGGAAGGGTATTGTAGTTACGACATAAGGAACATATCCGATATCATTTGTGGAACGGTTATTCCATAACGGTCAACCAACTCGTGATGGCGTCCGTAAAATTTACGAAGGGATGATTTCAACTTTCAAATTACTGCAATCACATTTCTTGCTTATTACACAGCCAATCATAACAACCAAACTATCGCCATCTCCAAACAGATAGCTTGCATAGTGTTCTACGTTAAAAAATGTATGTAGTCAACATTAGGTTAAAGAAACACGTTTAGAAAAAAAATCAAATGTTTGCAGAAAATAACACGCAGGATTCATGCTTTTAAAGGAAATGTAGGGAGCTAAACTTTTATATTTCAATATATAGTTTAACTACCAGCCTGTTCAAATCTCTTTTGTTTTTTTTAGTTATTTTGTTTGTAATTTCGTAATTATCATTAAAAGAAATAAAGTATTATATATATAAATATTTAGCTCGCCCCGAAAAAAATAAATACATAAATAGATAATGACATAGTAAGTTAGTTGATTAATGAAAAGTTGAATTTCAAATATGTTTCTTATAAAATTAGAATTTGTTTTTCTTGTTTGCTTACACAGCATCGAACATTGCCGAAAGAAGTGAAAACTATTATATTCTAGACACTGAAAATGTTCTTTGTGCCAGTCCAAAGTAGGGAACCTTATTTAAATACGTAATTTTTTTTTATAAAAAATTGAAATGTTGCAGTTACATGCAGTTGCATGTTGTATTTGGCAAAACCTTTCGGAATTTTGGGTCCTCAATACTCTTCAACTTCGTACTTTATTTGGCCTTTTCAACTTTTTTTATTCGAGCGTTACTGATGAGCATTACTGATGAGCCTTTTTTGACATAACGCGCGTCTTGCGTACACAATTTCTGGTATTTATGATGAGTTGTTTTACAACCAGTTGGTCAATGTTACTGCTGGAATAGATAATCAGCTGTATTTGGAAAAACCTCTCGGAATTTGGGGCCGTCAATGCTCTTCAACTTCGTGCTTTATTTGACCTTTTTACAGTTTTTGATTCGAGCGTCACTAGTGAGTCTTTTGTAGACGAAACGCGCGTCTGGCGTAAAACATTTTAAGCCTATATCTTTCAGTCTATATCTTTTTATTTGAACATTCTAGCAATTCACAACAATTATAGTTATAATCAGACTTTCTAGATATAAATATTTACAGGTAGAATAAAAAGCTATAACGAAACAAATTACTGTGTAGATGTCACACCAATAATTTAACTAATCATCATCAAGAACGTTTTGTAAAAGTAGGCAACCTCTAACAAAACATAGCACTTTTCATATTGCTGCGTTAAGCCCTCTGTTATTGACCTGGCAGCGATTGTTTGGCGATTTTCACACTTTAATTTCATACTAGAGAAGAACGAGGTCAATTCTATTGGCGTTATTTTTCTAATCACAACAGTTGAGTGAATAAATTGGTTGCCAAAATTAATTTGTTTGCAGTATTGTCTTTTTCAAAACTACATTATAAAGAAAACCCCTAAAACTTTATCTAAACAATAATATAATTAAGTAAAATCTTTTCTATTTTTTACATTCCAATGCTTTGCAGGCTATAATCTGTTCGTTCAATTTTCTAATGGTGCGAAGATATCATAACTGCAATATTTTTTGTCATTTTTGATAAAACAACTAATATAGTATGTTATAATGAGATAACAAAAAGAAAAAAAAATACCGGATTTGTGATAGTAATGCGCGTTGCAAACAGCAGTCATTCGAATATTCAAAAAGAATAAACTTCGTAATATGTTTTCCACTTTGGACATTGAAAAAACATATTTTTACTGTATACACATTGTATATTCCATTAAAAACTTTTAATCACCATTTTTTTTAAATGGAAAATTATTTCTCCTGATATTGACAACAATCGATGTGTTATCTAAACAATGGAAATCAAAATGATTCATATTTGCAGATGGTGGTATATAGGGCAACTGCAAAAGCTTCCTGACCAATAAGATATTGATTGCAGTTTAAAATGACGAAAAAATCCTTTCACCTATAAACGATAAATTTATTTTATCTTTGGCATACAAATATTGATTTCTAAAGAAATATTTTGATTTTAGCGATTTTTTTTTTCATTTTTGAAGTATTTTATAAGAATTGCATTTTTCTGCAAGTGTTGCGCAAGTAATATTTTAATATAAAATTGAGAATGGAAATGGGGAATGTGTCAAAGAGACAACAACCCGACCAAACAGCAGAAAACAGCCGACGGCCACATATGGGTCTTCAACACAGCGAGAAAATGCCGCCCCCGGAGGCGGGCTTCAGCTGGCCCCTGAACAAAATATGTACTAGTTAAATGAAAATGGTCGTCACACTAAATCCCAAAACATATAAATGAACTAAAATTAAAAAACATACAAGACTAACAAAGGCCAGAGGCTCCTGACTTGGGTCTAACGCAAAAATGCGACGGGATTAAACATGTTTTGTGAGATCTCAACCCTCCCCCTATACCTCTAGCCAATGTAGAATAAACAAACACACAGTAATACGCACAGTAAAACTCAGTTTAGAAGAAGTCCGAGTCCGATGTCAGAAAAAGGTAACATAAGAAACTAAGCAAAATGACAATGATACATAAATGAACAAGGGACTACTAGCAGTTACTGACATGCCAGCTCCAGACCTCGATTAAACTGATTGAAAGATTATGTCTTCATCGTATGAAAATCAAGAACAATCCCTCCCGTTAGGGGTTTAGAATCATTCCATCATAAAATATACGAGAAGAACATAACTCGTATCATGCCAACAACTTGTTTTAGAATAAATGTGTTTATTTCCGATGCAAAGACCCTATGAGTGAATCAATATTAATACCAAAATATGCCATCTTTAATGAACTGACATCAGTATCATAACAATATCCCTTCTGAATAAGTCTGTTTAAAGGTTTGGCTAGCTTTTGAGGTGAATGTCGACATTTTTGTGCTTTGTATAGAATATTACCATAAAAAATGGAGTGTGAAATACCGGAACGTATAAGGTGTCTGCATGTTGATTTATATTTACGAATGATGTCCTTGTACTGATGATAAAATTTAGTAAATGTTTTGACTCGTTTGTGATATTGAAAACCCTGGTGTAATAATTTTTCAGTAATACAGAGATTTCTTTCGTTAAAATCAAATACGTTGTTACATACACGTGCAAATCGAACAAGTTGAGATATATAAACACCATAAGATGGTGACAAGGGTACATCACCATCTAGAAATGGGTAATTAACAATAGGAAATGAAAAATCATCTCTTTTATCATAAATTTTGGTATTAAGCTTCCCGTTAAATATAAAGATATCAAGATCCAGGAAAGGGCAGTGTTCATTGTTAGTATTAGCTTTATTTATAGTAAGTTCAGCAGGATATATCTCTTTAATTTACATACTGAAGTCGTCATTATTGAGAGCCAATATATCATACAAATATCTAAAAGTGTTATTAAATTTTTGTATCAGATGTTGTTTCGATGGGTCTTTGCAAATTTAAGTCATAAATTGTAACTCATAACAATACAGAAACTGGTCCGCAATAAGTGGTGCACAGTTAGTCCCCATTGGAATTCCGATAACTTGACGATATACAGAATCTCCATAGCGAACAAAAATATTATCTAGTAAAAATTCAAGGGCAGTTATAGTATCAAAGCAGGTCCAATTGACATAGTTCTTTTGTTTGTTGTTACTAAAAAATGACCTTAAAGAGTTTGAACATATATATTCGCATTCTGACCTTTTGCATTTGATTTTGAATTAAAGTATTCTGTTCTAGTATGTGCATGTGAGTTTTAGAAAAAAAATTATCATACAAGAACATGCATGGGGCATTTTGTTTAATTTTTGTGAAATTTGGGAATGTCCATTCTTCACCTTTTACCTTGATTTAACGAAAATTGCGACGTACGAATTATTGGCGACAAGCAAAACAGAAAGTACAGATAATTAACTTTCGAATGATATATAATATAGCCGTATGTTAGGTGCGTCCATTAAAGTCGTTAACGAAGCGTTTTTTTTTTTTAAATTTTACTCGCCTAATAGGGGAAAAAAATGTTGGTATTACTCCTGTAACGATTACCATATTTAAAACTACTCGCAACGAAACGAGAACGCTACCGCCAGAATATTGAAGCGGTGGTTCTTAAAAGTTTTACATTTAGTTGATAGCAGAAAGGTAAACTAAATACCAGAAAACTGCAATTTGAAAATGAGTCAACAAAGCAAGGGCTTAACTGCATTTATATATAACATGTGATTTAGAATATGCACATTGAATACAATGTATACATAAAACGAAATGAAATAGCTAAACGATTGCAGAAAATTCATAACAAATGCATTCACATTTAGTGTAACGTACCTTCTGTGCGGATTTCACGTAAAAAAATGAAAACAACACGTTTAATAATTCCATGCATCCGAAGCGTTTTCTGGATATACTGGAGGTTGATGCGTTTTAATGCATCCTGCACAACCTAAGGATCTCCAATTTACCAATGGTTTTAATGCCGGATGTTAGAAGACCAGTTAACCTTCCGGAGCACCTGAGATCACCCATAGTTTTGAGTGAGGTTCATGTTACTCAGTCCTTGGTTTTCTGTGTTGTGTTTTGTATGCTGTTGTTTGTCTGTTCGTCGTTTTTCTTTTTCTGCTATGGTAATGTCAGTTTATTTCGATTTATTAGTTTAAATATCCCTTTAGTATCTTTCGCCTTTGTTTTATGGGTACGTTATTACAAGGTCTATTTCAAAATTCATATATTGAATCGAGGTAACAATTATACACTTCAATATATAAAATTATACCAATTGATAGGTAATGACACATATAAGTGTATTAAATTATTATATAAATTACCCTTGGAGTCCACGTGGTACTGCTTCTAGTGATTGTAGGTTTAAAAAATAGGTTATAATAACCGTCTCCTCTTTTTCTGATCCCTTTAAGGTCGTGATTCAGCTTGATAGAATGCCTTCAATGATAAATAGTTAATTTGTGTATTAGTACAACTGTATCTAGAAAAATAAGTTAAAGATGTTATATTCATCAATTTGACTGATATCTAAATCCATGTAAATTCTTATATTTTAATATTACTCTAAAACATAATTATAACAACTGTTAGAAATCCTCAAGATACAATAATGTATTTAATCAGTTAAACTGTCACTCAATCCGGTAGGCGGTACAAAGAATACATACAGTGTAAAGTAGAAGTAAAAGTAAATACAAATGATTGATATTGTTATGCCTAAGGGTAGCAGTTAAGTCTGGTAGGTTTATGTTTTGTTCACGCATCGTTGTCAATATAATGAAATTTGATGCGACTGTCATACAAGTGAGAGGTTTAGCTAGCTATAAAACCAGGTTTAATCCAACATTTTCTACATAAGAAACGTGACGTCACTTTTTGTGGCGTTGATACATTCGCGTGACGCACAGTTCATAATTATATTGTGGTGTACATGTGAGGTGTCGGTTCTTATTCTGTGGTTTATATGTTGTAATGTACTATTATATTATTTATTTATATATTTCTCTGTCCTGAGTGTTCTTGCGCTTATTTGTACTGTATTCCTGTCACGTAATGTTGTCATTTTAGCGGTATTTTTAACATTGCCACATAAGCGGGAAGTAAGGCTAGCCATAAAACCAGGTTAAACCCACCATATGTTCTTAAAATGTCTTGTACCAAGTCAGGAATATGGCAATTGTTATCAAATAGTCCGTTTCTATGTATGTTGGCGTTTGTGTTTGTAGCAGTACAGTGTTTCTGTTGTTCCGTTGTTTTCATCTTATAGTTTATGTGTTTCCCTCGTGTTTGGTTTGTGACCAGGATTTGTTTCCGTTAAATCGATTTATCACTATGGAACAGCAGTAAAATACTGTTGCCTTTATTAATAACATTAAAAATGGTGCAAATACAAGTAGAAATGTATAACTGTCGAGGTAAAAAAGTAAAAATAACAAAAATACCGAATTCCAAGGAAAATCCAAATCCGAAAGTCCCTTATCAAATGACAAAATCAAAAGCACAAACACATCAAACGAATGGAAAACAACTGTCATATTCCTGACTTTATACAGGCATTTCCTTATCTAGAAAATGGTGGATTAAACATGGTTTTATAGCTAGATAAACCTCTCACTTGTACGATAGTCGCATACTATTCCATTATATTGACAACAATGTGTAAACAAAACAAAAATACATAATAGGTAGAACTGTACTAAACACTAAAGATTAATAATTTACAACGACAAATAAAAGAAAACTATAACACGTAAAGTAGATGATAAACAACGTCAGTACCTAGTATCTATACTTGAAGACCATCATGTATTATTTGTGAAGTTGATACGGAATATTTATCAATAAGGTCTTGGTATCTTCCGATGAAATTTTTTAGAAAAAGGACGAAACGTGCTTTGACATAACCCTGGTTTATCAACCTTCTGATCAGACACTGGTGACGTTTTATAACGTCTGAGTAGCAGCTGCAAGCACTGGAATACCGAATGAGTTGAGAAACGTATATCCCATATGCAGGTGAAGTTGGTATATTGCTACTAAGGTGGAGAAATTAATCATTTCAAAATTAAAATCGTCTCGTTTGTCATAGATTCTGGTACTGAGATGACCGCTTATGTCAAATTCGAGGTATAAGCCTATAAATGAAGTGGAGGAAGCCGTGTCTGTTGTTTCTTTAATTTTTAGTTCTGATGGATATATTAATGGAACCAAATCAGACAATTTGGATTGCTAATGGAAAGAACATCATCAATATATCTGAATGTAAAATTAAATGATCTGGCATCTTTGATCTTTTTGTTTTTGACAAGTTTCTGAAGGAACTCCGACTTTATGAAAATAAAAAGAGGTCCGTAAGGAGAGGCGCATAGTTCGTTCTGATAGGAATGCGGACAATTTGTTGAAAAAGTCTACCTCCAAATTCAACAAATATGTTGTCAATAAGAAACTCCAGCATACTGATCACTTGGTCCTGTGTGTTCATTGTTTTACCTTTTTGTTCACTATATAAACCATTGTCTAGACTCATTTTAGCTACAAAGCTATTTGCAAGTTACTATTACTGTTTCACAATTACCAGTGAGAGTTATTAATAGGCCTGCTACCAAGGTTGATCCTATACCTCGTGTTAATACAATCAAATATTCACACACAGTATGTTAGCTTCGTGATGCTAGACAAGGGTCGTTAAAATTTCATCACAAATGAATTATAATTTACAAAAGAAATACTGTAACTTAATGATATTCTCTGCTCTATTTGAAAATAATAAGCTATTAAAAACCTGTTATCAATTGGCAGTATATAAATAACGGAACTGAAAAAATGAAAGGTCCGTGTCCTTGTTTTTGGATATATTAACAATTGAAAATTTTGAGGGAAATGATTTCCCTAGATTTGCATACATTTAACACCAGACCTTTTTCTATCAAACATTAAAAACAAATAACAATAATTTTATAAAATTTAAAAAAATTGCTTTTTTTAATTATATGTTAAAAAATAATGAAAAGAACAGTGGGGCTAACGTGCAAACCTGTTACTGGTATTTCATTTATAAAACCAGTGGGTTCCGAATATCTGACTAAAAGTAAAAAACCAAATCAGCGACTATCTTTAAAAACTCATTTTGTTTATAATTACCACTTACAGTTCTTCAATTCCTTTCAGCCAAGGGTGTAATTTAGAGGAAATATAAAATATGCCTCAACAAGACAGCAACACAATTTGAATGTGTAGATTTACCATTCACCATTTTTTCACAATTAATATCCACCTAGCCTTAATGACACAACGTCATAAGTGAGATTTGTCAGGTTTAAAAAACAATGGTAGATTTATTTTAGGAACATTTTTTGTCATAGAGCACGAGCGTCGCCTTGACAGTCTATGACAGATATTTTCTATTTGTTTGATGTGTTCTGATTTTGCCATTTGATTAGGAACCTTTTCGTTTTGAATTTCCTTGGAGTTCGGTATTTTTGTTTTTTTTTTCTGGTGTGCCTCATACTATTTCGATACTGATGAACTTTAGTTTATTAATAAAAATTTTATTTACAATGAGCAACATGACGGGTGTCATCAGTTGGGCAGGATTTGCTTACACGAGTACCAGGAGTACCTGAAGTCAATCCCAGCTTTGGTAGGATTAGTGTGTCTTAGTCTAGTTTTCTTTGTAAGTGTTTCGCGGAATTGTTTGTCTTTTCGACGTCTTTCTTTTATTCCTTTGGCGTTTTCAGTTCCTCCTCTACAAATGATTTTGAAAGTCCGCGTGGTATATACATAGTCCATTTTTGTTAAATCTAAAGATTTGAAAATTGATTGTCCGGTCCGCAAAATTAGAATAACATACTTTCATTGGTTAACGATTCGCAACGTTATTGTGAATATTATACAGCATGCAACAAATAATTTTTGAAACGACGAATAAATTACTGTGGATTCATTATTATTCGTTGGATACCAATTTTCGTGGGTTTCGTGGGTACAAGTGAACCACGAATTCAAATGTTCAACGAATTACAAATTTTCTATAGGCTTTGTATGCAGAGATTGGCAAAACCACGAAATCAAATATCCACGAAAATGCAAGTTTTCCTCAATCCACGAAAATTGATACCCACGAAAATAAATGAATCCACAGTATGTACCAAAAGAACTCGTTCATTCTACCATAAGAATTGATAAAACAAAATGTTAAAGCTAGCTACGTCAATCTTAAGTTTGATAACTAATCTTCATTTGTGTTGTTACAAGCGGCGTATTATATCTGTTTTCACTTGAAACAAATATATTTTATCGTATGTTGGCAACATGATCAATACAAAATTCTTTATCTTAATGAATCTATCTACGTAGTAGATGCACCTATAATCATAAACGGCTTTGTACACAAAAACAAATGTGAATCTACTCAAACTCACCTTATACTAGCACGTAGAAATTGCTGAAGTAATTTATTAGGTATTGAGGAAAATCCTGTCGCCACAGTTAAAACGTCATTACTTGAATTAGATGGCGGAGAGGTTCGAACAGCAAATGATGCAACGGCTTCCCTGTGTATTGAATCAAAGCCATCAGTTTCTCTGATGTAATGCTGTGCCTCAGCGCTTAGATATTTATGATAATAAGACTGAACACTGAAAAAAATTAAGACCTAAGTTCAGATCGAATACAGTATTTGGAGTAGACATAACAGACATATAGTTTTGGCTTGGATTTAACATGTTCGCTTACCCAAACGTTCAAAACATTTTAACCATAATAGGTATACCTCTATAGCTTGCTATGCGGTATGGATTATAGTCATTGTTGATCTTGAGAGAAGAGTTGTCTAATGGTAATCATACAAAATCTTATTATTTTTTTCTGAACATTATCTTTCATTGTATACAATAGTACTAGTGCAGACAGCCAAAAAAAAAACCATTAAAATATTATTAAAATATTATTAACTGCAATTGAGAATTACACTTTATAAATGAAATGTGTCTAAACCATTTTTTTTTATTGGTTTAACTTTATAAATTAATAAAGATCAACCTTGCATGATGGAGGCCTCAGTTTCCCTTAACATTTCCTAATTCATAAAGGAGGAATTTTAGAAAAAGTATTTTAAAAATTATGTCAGCAAGGAAGCATTAACTCCTAAGCTGATGATACCCTCGGAGACTTATTATCCATCACCAGCGGTATTGACCAAGTTTTAATAAATGCGAATAACACAATAACACGTAATACATCTCGTGCGTTCGAAGCGCAAAAGCAGCAATGAATGAAAGGTAGTCTATATGTGCTTAAAAATTATCAATTATCCACTGTACATTAATAGAATATGGATTTCGGTTTTGTAAGACAGTACTTAAAAATAAGACGGATCAGTGAAGGGATTTTCAGAAAGATAAAGGAACCACCACTCTGTAAAACATTGAACAAAGATCTCATCTGCAAAAATTCTGGCTACTTTTATAAACATGAAAAAAATGAACTGTTTAATTAAAATCAAATCAATTTACACCAATCGAAAAAAAAATCAAGTTAAAACACGACATACAAAAACGTCTACTACTAGTTCCAATATTTATGTCATAAAATATTGCAGTTATAGCATAACAACACAAAGAGCCATCGAATTCAGTAATGAAAAATATGTTAAATATTTAAAGCTTGACTTAATGTTTTAATATAAAAATGCCGTTTCGTTTGAAATTCCCTGAATACAGATTATCCAATTACGAAATGATAGAAAATATGTACAACTACAATATACAGATTTCAATTTTTGTTTCTTTAGATCTATTTACCGTACATAAGTGCCAACATATTCTTAATCTTGTAGTCAATGGAAGTAACAATCTACTAGTCGTTATGGGCCGGAAATGTTTTACACAATTGTGGATTCAAATTCCATCATAGATCCAACATGTCCACGATACCGATCTCATATCATTACCATGGCCTCAGTGGCTGAGTGGTCTAAGTAGTCTTATTACTGCATCACTAGTCTGTAAGCACTTAAGTTGCGAGTTCGTGTCCCGCACTTGGCAAGTGCGTTCGACTCCAATATTAATTGACTAGGACTGTCAGTTTTCCAGTTTGTCCGACTTGTATTCATATAGAAATTTTCATGAACAAAATAAGGTTTTCAAATAACAGTAAATTTGTTTTGTTTTTATAGAAGTACTTGAAATCAACATCTGTATTATGTAATTTTCATCTACATGGCGAACAAATGATTTCACGTTTGATCATACTGTTTTCATGTCTGCAGAATTCTGTAAATGTTATCATATCGGATTAAAAATCTAAACAAGATACATATTTTATTTCAAAGATTTGTCACTTGCTTGTTTTAAAATCAATATCAAAAAACGGTATTTAATCTATATTTTAACATACCTTTGTTCATACATTGATACTCCACTTCTATCTTTCACGTAAAACATTTTATCATCGTCTGGAACATTTGTTGTTAGCACATCGGTGTTATTCCTAGTTACCTCCCTTAAAAGAACGATAAAATGTAGAACACAAACATTACTGTTATACTTATTCAAATGTTGTAAATTAATTGTAAATGAGACATCAGATTGTATTTAAATGCAAGTAATTGTACGTACCTCCCGGGTTTGTACTTACATGAGCAACACAACAAATGCTATATGTGGAGCATGATTTGCCTACCCTTCCGGAGCAACTGAGATCACCCGGTCTTTTTTTTCTGGAAAGAGGGGGTGGGGGGTTGTTCAGTCTTTGGTTATCCATGTTGTGTTTTTGTATACTGTTGTTTGTCTTTTGGTCGTTTTTAGTGTTATTATCAGTTCTTCTTGAACTAATGTTTCTGAATGTCCCTTTGGTAGCGTGTATCTTCCTTTCTCCATACTCTTGTGAATTAAGAAAAATATAAGTCGCATGCCATGTACTCAATTATTGTTGATAGGATATTAAAATGTTGATAAATAAATCAAAAACAGCGCTGCTTTTCTTAATTTAAAGTTTTTCGACAATCTTATTTTTTTCCTTTTTTGTGAACTAATCACTAGATTTTCGTTTAGATCTTTTCCCCGAGTGTTCTCTTAGACCTTTTAATCTCCTAAATTTTCTCCTTGGAGTTGTATCGAAACAACCCCCAGGAATATCTCTATTAAACCTTTTTTCAGGATTTCTACTCAGATCGTGTCCATTGGATTTCCACCAAAGTGATGTTCTCACATCTTTACTCTTGTCTTTATAACTAACTCTAACTTTTCTCAAGTCATAATTGCCTTTTTCTATCCTAACCTACTGATTTTCTTTAACTTGATCATTGATATTGTTTACATCAATTATACTATAATCTATCGCCGTATTTGAATATTCAAAATAACACTGCGTGTGACCGAACAACGCATTTATTATACAAATGTGGAGTTCGGTCACTTATGGTCTTATTCTTGATATTTAAATATGACGATTACTTATACATTTTAGTATATACGAACAGACTATTAAAACCAATTTCTGTGTAATTGGCGTTAATTAGATTAACTTTGTATTTTGTCGATTTCACTGTACTTGTTTGGCGTATGAATATATATTTGTATTACACACAGTTGTCAAAATGGCAGATCGTCACTTCGAGAAGATTGATGCACCTTTTAAAATTATCGGGAAGCCTGAAGTTATGTTTAATGCACCTGGACCATGTGAACTATGATCCATTGTTATATGTAACACAATAAATTAATTATGTTAAAGTATCAAGTGTCAAAGTGTCAAAGCCAATACCTTCAGAGGGCATTCTCAAGTGAACGCCCGGTAAAAGGCGGGGATAATTTAGAGAGTGAAAATAAACGCGATATTTCACATGTTAGATTATCGGAATTTTTCACAATGGGAACCCTTCTTCTGTTTCCGCTTAATGTAAATATCTCCAACGTTGGAGCATACCCAGCTAAGTGTGTTCACTTAACGGAACAATTTAAATTGACGTAAGCACATTAAAATGAATAAATACTGTTTCAGAGAACGCTGCAAACGAGCTATTTACATATTCATCTTTATCTATATAATAATGTTGCCAAACCTTATTTGAATGAAAAGTGTTTATCTTTTACTCTAAGTAAAATTTATAAGATTATAATTTGAAATTTTGTTTTCGTTTGTACCCAAAGTTACTATATCTTTATGGTTAACTTACTGTTTTAGTACGTGCAATTGTTTAACGTGACAGGTAGAATTGACAATAAAAACAAATGTTCCGCTTTTTAAAATGATACAACAGAAAATACCGGATGAGAAGCGAGTTTCTGTCATTGCATCGATCTATATACTGTAAATTTAGAAATTATTGCGATGTTTTTATTATTGCGAAAAATGCGACAGGGTTATAATCGCAATAATTTATACTCGCATTTTAAAATTTTTTATATATGAATTAAACAGGATTACAGTATATACTGTTTTTCTTTTTTGTTCTATTTATATACCATAATAGTTGATCAACGGGTTTTCTCTCATTCGGTAGAAGTCTGTAGGGTGTTTTATTACCACCTAATTCGTCATAACGCAAGTGGACTCCTCGTACATTGAAAGTAGTGTCAGGTGATGGTCCAGATCCTAAATCAAATCTTTTGATTCGAAGCCCTAACTGTTGTATGGTGTTATGCAGTAAAGCATGGGCTGAAAAAGAAATGACTTATAGACAGAGAAAAATATAAAAAAATAATATTTAAAAAAATGAAACGAATAGTGACTGAAGTTTACACGGTAGTATTTACTTTCCAGGAACTAGGTTGCTCTTTCGTGTACCCTACTTTTGTCAATTTATTTGAAAGCTGTGATCGGACAAAAAAATACAGCATATTCTGAACATATTTTCCAAGCTGAGGGATGAATAAGGTGAAGAAAAATATGAAATAATTATACATACTGGTGAAAATGAAATTTTTCAGAATCTTTTTTTTTGTATTCACTGCATGATTAAAGACCTAATGCACCAGTGGCCTAAGGTTTATAAAGATAGATGACAAAATAAACGATCATCATATACATGTTCACATTTATTTCTGAATATTAAAATATTGCTATCTGAAGAGGGTGATTGTATAAAAAAAACATTGGGACATCACCATTATTACTTGAATTTTTATAACTTTATTCTGTAAATTTTACAAATAATTGTCCACATATCACATGACATAGACTTACATCTACGGTAATACCTCATAGCACCCAACTCCACATTTATATCCGGAGCATTTGGGAACTGTACTGTATACATTCTTCCTCCAACTCGGTTTGAGAATTCGTAGATAGATATTTGTTTATTTTGTTGTCTTAATCTCCATGCTGCATACGTACCGGCAATTCCTGCACCAATTATGGCTATGTCGTCACATTGGGCCTCTTAAATATTAATATGAGATAGCATGATAATAAATTGTATGCAATGGGATTGTCTCTTTGTCGAGATATTATTTGGATATATATGTCAACACATTAGCCAGAACTAATTATCATACATATAAGAATGTAGAAAAAAAGTTATGGGATATAATTGATCAGGTTCAAAATATAACAGCCCACAAGGATTACCATGGTAACTGGGGAATAGAAATATAATCACCATCGGTCTTTTTCCAAACGGCAGTAAAAAGTAAAATAACAAAAATACCGAACTTCGAGGAAAATTCAAAACGGAAAGTCCCTAATCAAATGGCAAAATCAAAAGCTCAAACACATTAAACGAATGGAAAACAACTGTCATATTCCTGACTTGCTAAAGTTGGACGTGAATTTGGCTGTATGGTATTTACAAGTACACAACCACGTCCGGTCAGAATCGGGACGCTAAATCTGATGCCTCGTGTAGAGATAGTTCCATGCTATTTGCACGTGAATAACCCTTGCAAAACCCCTTTGAGGGTTTCTATAGTTGGTCTGTTGCAAGGCAAATTTCTGTTCCTATCCAATAGACTATTATACCCTCATTTTTTCAGTGGCAGTCAACATTTCCCAGACCTTCACCCAGGACGGCCTCTAATATAGGACCTATTATTGTATGTATTGGTAATTTTTTCTCGTTTGAATATGCACGAATTATTTGTCACTGGAATTTAAGCAACCACTTATCAATCAATCAATCAAAATATATAAAATGTCTAACAGGGGATATGAGCCGATACATGGAGTTCTCTTAGTTGTATAGTTAGGCTTATTATTGATAACTGAACTTATAAAACAACATAATTCGAGTATTAATTAAGAATAGGTCATTTGAATAAGCACGAATACATTTAATCAATAAAGAGTAATGTTTATGATTTCCTCAAACGGTTAGCCATAAGTAAAACAAGCATGTAGGCCCGTGTTATTTAAAAAATACAAACTCGGTACCCTTTAATTCTTTTATGTCTTTTCTAGATAATTTGTGTAATGCGTATATCCTCTTTAGTATATGTTATTATGATAAATGTAAAAAGAAAACAAAAAATAACTTGAAGTATACAGGGAATTTATTTTTCATTCAGAATTTTTTTTTTCATTTATTTATGTTTACGTATTTGTATTAGAATCATGAATATATAATTCAACCGAAGTATGTTATAAGCTGGTTATTTACAGAAAAATCTTTTTTCCATCTTTCAAGGATTATATTTCAATCATTAGAGTAACCACCACCGTCCAAAACAACGCAATCAATTTTAGCTGTTCCTTTCCAAGTGCAAGATTATTAAGTTCCCACCAGAATTTTTGTTTGTTTGATGTATTCATTTTTTACATTCTGTTCAGTCGTTCCGCCGAGTATTATCGTTCCTCTTGTCTCAAACAATTATTTTATAATTGTTTTAGCAAATGTTTCCTAATCTTCTATCACTTTTGAAATTACAAAAATCTTTTTCGGTTTTATTTGTTTCTAACAATATTTGCTGTCAATCGTTATTCCAATACAGGTTTCCGATGTTGAGTTTCCCTTTTTTTTGTATTTTCATTGAAATCTTTGTATTCCAAATCTTAGTCCATTTCATCGTGTAACGTTTGTACCAGTCGTTTATATATTGTGTTAATTCTATCTTTTTATTATTATTCCTGTGTTGCATCGAGTCAATGATACTATGAAGTGATTGTACACATCTAGCACTATTGAATACAGTACGTGGAGTCGTTGATATATTATATTTGCGCTTACTTATATTTCCCGAAATCATATAAAAATTCGGTTGATTGAATTCCGCATATTCCGAAAAATGTAAACCACATGTAAAAATTAAGTGATCTCGAAGTCGGGCGTTTGGCGATAACTGAATATTGTAAATAATCACTACATCAGATACAAGTTTTACTTCAAAACTTGACACTTTGAAAAGCGCGTCTTAAGGTACTAGCATAGAGCCTACTACAGACCTTTCGTGTGGTGATACATATATAAAGTTACCTCTACCATTTAACATACAACACTCGGTGTCTTTCAAAAAATCAAATAGATAGTATCCAAATGCTTTTTTCGTTTCATGATTCATGAATAGGTTGTCTAGGTTGTATCATGTCTAGAGTATCATTAAAATCTTGCTGTAATCTTGAACGACCGTTAAATCACCACAAATATCAACCAAAGTTCAAATGAAGTGAATGTAAGCAATTATAGGCAATCGTACGTACAGCCTTCAGCAATGAGAAAACCCATACAGTATAGATGGCCTTAAAAGACTCCGCCATAAAAAATATGAAACAATTCAATTGAGAAAACTAACGGCCTAGTTTATAACAAATCAATTTACGAAAAACAAATATAACAGAGTGACATGAAACAACGACAACCACGGAACTTAGTCAGTCATAAGAAATACCTTGACTGAAAACCCCGTCCTAAAATGCTGAATGATAAGTTTGGTTTCAATTGGAAAATCGGTGTTAGGTTTTGCTGATTTACTTATCTTTTGATCTTTTTTCGTTTTTTTTTTTGCCATGATGACATACCCAAATGTGCTTAAAATGGCGTTAAATACCAACAGTCAAGCAACCAATCCTAAACGTCGATCAAATGAAATGTTATTTGAGCGTAAATTATAATTTTATATTTGTTTCCCGCACTCAATTGAAATTATATAAAAACGGTCTATAATTTTGATATAGTGATATTATAAAAAAAGAATGAAAATATCTAATAAAAACCTGACACTCGTTATAAATGTTACTTTGACAGTAACATCAATTAGAAAAATAGTTCTATTTTTTCCTAAAATATAAAGGTAAATGATTCTTATTATTACTAAACCATTAAAAGAAAAAAAATATCTCTAAACCCTTAAAGGAGGGACTTAAATCGAACTTATTATTTCTATAACATATATAATACTCACTTTCAGTTGGTTCGCTAATTGCGCTTCCATCAATGGGCTGATTTTTAATGTGATATGTCAGAACAGAAGTGGTAAAATACTGCAAAACTACCAAAACAGATATTATTTTCCTACTCTCTTGGCTCATTTTGACTGTAGTTTACATCACATTTTACAAATCTCTATAGACAAAATGAATTCAATTAGTATTCTAAATGCGTTTTGCCTGTACCTCTTGCTTATAATATATTATTTAATTAACTACGTTGGAGATTGATTTGACATACAGATTTTTTTTTGTATCATTGCTCATAAATGAATATTCAAAAATGACATTATGTAATACATTATATTTAGCCGCAGGTGTTTAACATGTAGAAAAAAAGGACTATTCCTTGCAATAAATCGTCATTTGAATCTTATAATGATTATTTCCGATTTTTCTAACTCTATGAAATTGAATATGAAGTTTCAAAGCGCAATATCATATATTTGACTAAGAAATAAAAAGTTATTAAGGAATTGAATTTACGTATATGAAGAGTAACTCTTGGTCGACTTTTTTACTAAATAGACTAGAACTTAAATAAATAAATATCCCCTTTTCTCAGCTAAAACGCGGATACTATGCCAAGCTTGTTTCACATTGCAAGTTGCATTAATTAACCGACGACAAAAAGTCCTGCATTGTAACGATGAAGTTCAATAGTCCAATAAATGAGTGAATTTAAGTCACTTTACTACTTAAAAACCAAGAATAAAAACGATCCGCTTAGCTAATCTTTCGATAATCTTAGCTCGACGGCGATACTATCGAATTATATGACCAAAATCGTTAAAATCGCAACTTGTGAAACGGGTTTCTCTTTTGTTAATTGGACCCCTTTTTATAGCATACATTTGTAAATGTTTTAATCAATCGGCACACTGGTTAATGCGTGCTTCACCGTCGAACATATGATCATCCAAATAAGGCAAAATATTCTTGGAAGTGCTGCACCATGCAGTACACAAATGTACAATTTTTTTCATTAATCTTTACCGGAATATGAGCCCAATTTGGATCAAATTTACTAGGGATCATTTTCAGTACATGACTATAAATGACTGTACTAGTTCGAGAATATGGAAGTTGTTTTTCACTTGTTCGTTTATTGATAAAGTTTGATTTTATTTTTATGGACTTCCCCTTTTTGAATTTGCCTTAGAGTTCGATATTTTTGTTATACCTTTTTATTAAGGAAGGTTCCTCACTGACCAAGTACGAGACTGTATTTGGCAACTCGGATCACTTACTTTGATTTAAGGGTGTTGTTGCTGTATCGACGCAACTACTCCTCTTGAATGACTATTCTTTCATCGCTATCAGCTTTTCGACTGTTACACTGTGGTGACATCTTGGAATTCTGTGCGCTGAAAATCTGTCGTCGACATCGGATCTTACAGTGGCGCATGCCCAGGGATAGCTACTGTCACTGTGTCCAAATCTACATGATGAATTTGGTTTTTGTTGGGAGTAATACACTCGTCTCCGCTTGCAATCATACTAAATTTGGTAAAGGAAGGATCGACAACATCAGTTTTTTTTTATTTACACGATGGTGCCTCGGCACATGTCTACGAAGATGCCACATGTCTACGAAGGTGCCACATGTCTTGCTGGATCACACTGAACAGGTCTATCATAATGAACATTAAACGTTTTTGTCTTGGAGTTCGCTTTCCCTAGATCAGACCGTAAATTATAAGGCGGTTGTCTATTTCTTCTTTTTAGGAATCATCTGTGTTGAGTATTGAACTGGATTACTCGACAACTTCAAGCAATCTTACCTCTCGAACGTTATTAAATTATAAAAGTGGAAACGTCAGACACGTCAAGGATCAAAATACAGAGAGAAAAAGAGGGACTCGAGAATAAATACGTGATTTAAACATTTATTCAACCGGCTTTGTTCGTAAACCGATAAATTATATTAAATGAATAGGCAAAAAAGGGCGGAAGACACCAAAGGGACATTCAAAACTCGAAGAAAAACAGACAACTCCATGGCAAAAAACAAGATAAAAACAAGAACGAGATAAATAAAAAGAACACAAGGAAGCTTAACAATTCAACAGATTCTTCACAGAAACGTTCTTTTAAAAAATTGCATCCTTAGTTTCATGGCATGTTTGCCACTGAACAAAATATGTCAATACAAAATTTTTATCACAACCAAGGTAAACTTAGGATAATATCGTCAAAAGTGGGGAAAATAATTTAATACGAATATTTCATATAATGTTTAAATATGCGTCTGCGTTGTCATACTATGGACAATATTGATTATTTTTGCACATTAAAATAAGTTGAGATGTATCATGTCTTACAGAACTTTGCAAATTAATAACCAAGAATAAACACAGATGGGGCCAATATCATAACATATGACTAGTAATACATGAAGGTCTCGATGTGGGAGGTCCTTCATTTCTTTATTCTTATGTCATTTGTCTCAATTCTTTTTTTTTGCCAATCATTCTCTATTATTTATATCATGTATATTTTAGCACCCCGTTATTTTCTGTTCTCTATTTTGTTTGCCCTATTCTGCTTTATTCTTTATCTATTGTGCCCTTTATTCTGCACTGTTTGCCCATTATTCTCTATTCTATAAACCCCATCCAAACTCTCATCCATAATTCCTCTGTTCATATGGTCCAACTTTCCAATGAAAGATATTATTTCTTTTAAATTAAACTTGCTGGAATTTCTTCAAGTTTCATTATTTTTCACACTCTTTCAACTTTTAATGTGTTAATATTAACCTTGTGTGTCATCAATTAAGGTACTGTCATGATATCTTTTGTTAACTGATACAAGTTTTTCCTAATACGTGAAAAATTGATCTAACCTCACGTGTGAATCTGTACATCGTATACTTCACAATTTGAACATAACGATACAAGAGGGTCTGGATGGCAGGGGATGGGGGAGGGGGGTCTTTAATTTTTGTATTGTCATCTTTCTTTATTCTTGATATCCTTTGCTCTTATTTCTCTTTTCTGTATATTACAGCATCTCATTATTTGTATTCTTTATTTGTTTGCCTATTTGTCTCTAGTCTTTGCTTTTTGTCCCATTCCAATATTTCTCTCTCTATTCTGTAAACCCCATCCATACTCTTATTTAATATCATTATAGTTATTGTTAGTACAAAGTGCATATTAATTAGTAAACATTTCCCTAGGCATGACATAAGTTCCAAACAATTGTTGATTAAAATTAGCATTTTAAGTATTTGACCTTTTCAAATCTAACTAATATTATGTGTCTTCACTTCGAAGCTTATACTTTATTCTCGGAATTTGTAAAATAGAATTAAGTAAGTTGTTAAGATGTTAAGGATCATTAATAATTGGAACTGAACCTTCAAAAATAAAGAACGCTCCATTGGGGTATTTAATAACACCCATTGAACTATACGTAAGGAGGAGAGAAGAAAATTTTCGTTTCAAACATGGAACTGTGTCATTTCTTATTTATTTAAAACTAACCCAGGATAATGCTGAAAATAAAAATCTCTTCATTTCAACATAATTATCTTTGTCTCGATTTTACTGGATTTTCATGATTTGTAAATGACATCATGTTACCCATTTTAGCATTGTTCGGTCGTTGTTCTTCGGCTAAACTTTAATTTACATGATAACAAATTGTTTTATGTGATGTACACAAATGAGCATGCAATTGCATTTCTTGTTTACACTTGTGAAAATATTCCAAAACGGATACATAATCACAACTATTCCAATTCTTTGGAAAAATTGGTTACCTATTGACCTTTATAGAAGTCTAAAAGAAAAAGAAAAAAAAAAGTGGCGTTCACAAAAAAAAAATCAAATAAATAAGTACTCTCTCTGTATAAATAAATATATATATACATGTGTATACATGGAACAATTTATATCAAATGCTGCATGTATCAACTACAAGAGACTAATATCAGCCAGAGGATACACGTGCAAGGCCTGATATATTGACATATAATTCTCCGTTTACGATATCTTGTACTATATAAACTGTATCACATACCTTGTAACAAATAACCTGTATCACATACCTTGTAACAAATAACCTGTATCACATACATTGTAACAAATAACCTGTTTCGCATACCCAGTATCACATCCATAGGAAAAAGTAAAATAACGAAAATACTGAACTCCGAGGAAAATTCAAAACGGAAAGTCCGTAATCAAATGGCAAAATCAAAACCTGAAACACATCAAACGAATGGATAACAACTGTCATATTCCTGACTTGGTACATGCATTTTCTTATGTAGAAAATCGTGGATTAAACCTGGTTTTATAGCTATGTAAACCTCTTACTTGTATGACAGTCGCATAAAATTCCATTATATTGACAACGATGTGTTGACAAATCAAACATAATTTGTCAAAATGTCAAAAATAGGGGTACAGCAGTCAACATTGTGTTAAATGACCTTCCCTTATTTGGATCGCGACAACAAAAAAATTGGAAACCATAATTTGCGGAAATTTTACACATTTTTCTAATGTTCACGTCTGGATTAACATGAATGTTTTGCCACTGACCTAAAAAAGGAAGTAACAATTTATGAATAATACTTATATAATTATTGAGGTACACATTATTTTCATATATTCCTAAAAATCAGTGACAATGAAGGAACATAATGAAGAAAGAGATGAAATTTAATCATATTTCTGCTAAAATTCACTGCTTTTACATTATTAGAACATTTAAAGATAAAAAGTTGTCTTTGAATCTAATGTCGTTTAGGAGACAGACATCTTGGATTTACAATCATGACAGAAGGAAAATTAAGAATCCTTGATTGATTGGCTAATTTTATGTGCATAACGCCACTTTCAACACAATGGCTATTTTGTCGCGGCCAGTTTTTATAGTTGGAGAAAGTCGGAGTGCCCTGTTAAGACAACAGACTTTCAGGAAAACTGAAATCCTAGACAACTAAGATTGAAATCGAACACACCTGCTACGTGCGAGGTTCGAACTCACAACCTCAGTGCGGAAAGGTAAGTGTTACAGTGCTTGAACTACTTAGACCACTCGCCTATTTAGGCCCTCCATTCATTGATCATGTCAATGTTATCCGAACGACAATGATGATAAAGTTGATTACATATTTACAAATGGTCCACATAAGGTGTATATATGTTCTGCCACAGAAATCC